CTGCAGTTCCTACTATCCCTGACGATCTCCCCCTGTCTGCCATGTCCAGGGCAAATCCCAGGAACGATGCAGCACAGCTCTGGCCTGACAGTGCTTGTCCAGATGGACAACAGGCTTCTTAGGATAATGCACGGTCGAGAAATGCCAGTGAATTTCAGGGAGATCCACCAAGTTCAGAGTTGTTATGGGAACAGTGTGAGGGATGTGAGGCCTGCAACGGGACACGGTAAGTAGTTATTGAGGCAGGTATGCTAAGATACAGCCAGAAATCTCAATAGGCCCTGCTGCAGAGATCCCTCCATAAAACTCAACACAACTCAGATGTACCCAAATAAAAAAAAATCAAAATTCAGCCCACTAATTTCAAAATCAGTGCAATACACTCAGAATTAACAAAATGCTTCCTCAAATCAACGAGTCATCTTCTTTTATTTAAACTAACGCCTAACTGACTACCAAATAAAAACCAAAAGAACTACAAATGCTGTAAAATCAGAAACAGAAATTGCTGGAAAAGCTCAGCAGGGCTGGCAGCATCTGTGAGAGAAGTCAGAATTAACGTTTCGGGGCAAGTTCTGAGGAAGAGTCACTTGACCCGAAATGTTAATTCTGCTTGCACTCCCAGATGCTGCCAGACCTGCTGGGCTTTTCCAGCAACTTCTGTTTTTGTTCCTTACTACTCAGCTTCATTTTTCTCAATCTAAATCATACTGTGTTCTTGGGGCTTTTAGTTTAAAAAAAACAAAGATCACTGTATCCTGTACTAGCCCTTACTGCCTATGTGGTGTTCTACCTGCTTTTATCACATTTTATAGGCTATTGACCTGCCCTCCCCAGGAGGGGTTTGGGGAAGGGGAAAAAAAAATGCATTTATTAAGTCACGTATTGTTTTATTGGCCTTGTGGCAGTCTCCTACAATTGGAAAATGGCCATGGTTGAATCAGGTTGCAACATCTGCAACTTACTCCAGGCTAAATCAAGAAGAAAACAAAAAGGTACATGGTACACAATATATCTTGCTGATTTTTAACTTTATTTACAAGTCCCAGACCTGGTTTATCATGAGCACATTAGAAAGCCATGAGTAAATTTCCTCAACTGGGTTAGATTTTGGATTGCATTCTCTCTCTGTCCCAATCTGTACAAACAGCTCCATGGTCTTTCTGATAGCTTTAACCTTTCCAACATAACTCTTACTTGTTGATTCAGAGATAGTGGGAACTGCTAATGCGGGAGAATCTGAGATAACAAGGTGTAGAGCTGGATGAACACAGCAGGCCAAGCAGCATCAGAGGAGCAGGAAGGCTGACGTTTCGGGCCTAGACCCTTCATCAGAAATGGGGGAGGGGAAGGGGATTCTGAAATAAATAGGGAGAGAGGGGGAGGCGGATAGAAGATGGATAAAGGAGAAGATAGGTGGAGAGGAGACAGACAGGTCAAAGAGGCGGGGATGGAGCCAGTAAAGGTGAGTTAAGGTGGGGAGTTAGGGAGGGGATAGATCAGTCCAGGGAGGACAGACAGGTCAAGGAGGTGGGATGAGACTAGTAGGTAGCAGATGGTGGTGGGGCTTGAGGTGGGAGGAGTGGATAGGTGGGAGGAAGAACAGGTTAGGGAGGTGGGGACAAGCTGGGCTGGTTTTGGAATGCAGTCGGGGGAGGGGAGCTTTTGAAGCTTGTGAAGTCCACATTGATACCATTGGGCTGCAGGGTTCCCAAGCGAACTATGAGGTGCTGTTCCTGCAACCTTCGGGTGGCACTATCCCCGTCTCCATGACCTGTCCGTCTCCTCTCCACCTATCTGCTTCTTTACCCATCTTCCATCCGCCTCCCCCTCTCTCTCTATTTATTTCAGAATCCCCTTCCCCTCCCCCATTTCTGAAGAAGGGTCCAGACCCGAAACGTCAGCTTTCCTGCTCGGCCTGCTGTGTTCATCCAGCTTTACACCTTTTTATCTCTTACTTGTTGAGGTCTTTTCCTTCAGTCCCCCTTTCCTCACCTTAAGGCACCAAATACTTGCTGCAGTACGATTTTGATTGCTATCTCTTTGTACAAGAAGTCAGAGTTAAGGAATGTCAGCTGATTATAATTACTCATTGGCAGACAAACAAAGCTAATCTGATCTTCACATGACAGCCACACACAAGACACCTTCCACCAAGGATCACTAGACAGCAATAGGGAATAGGTTGCCTGTTTGAATCGCTCTACACCCAGCCTGGTATTGGAGATAAAAATGTTGCACTTTCAATATTTCCCCAAAAGCAGCCATGCTGTCTGAAGAAAAAAAGGTGGGGGAAAGAAAAAGCAATTTTGTTTACTTAACTCAATCAAAACTTAATAAAAGACTTGATTGACCTTGCCCAATCCACATTGCCGCATTCACATGTCCTACTCTGCTTTTAATAGGGTTGACAGGCCTTCTGAGCTCACTCCATACTATGCCTAGTCAAGGGGTGGATCAAAACCTTAAAAAGAGAAACGATCGTGAAACTTTGCCCTCGAGATATAAGTGGAGCAGTGCTTTTATATTTTTTTTAAAAAGTGGCGATTTTCTTGGTTTATTTTAAACTGAAAACCATGTGAACATTGCTCCACTACATACTTGCTCCTGTATGGCCTAACATATCCATAGCACTTGAAATACAAGTAGTAAGCTAACCACTCTTTTTAAAATCACATGAGAAACAGGAGCTGTTCCTCAAGGCCTCTCCACTATTCAACACAATCATAGCTGATCCTCTATCTCAATGCAAAAATCCTGCTCTCTCCCATTATCCCTTGTTACCTTTAGCCTCTAGAAACCTATTTCTTTCTTCAATATATTCAGCGATTTAACATTGCAGTCTTCGGTGGCAGCTAATCCCATTGATTCACCACCTTCTGATTGAACAGATTACTTCTCATCACCATTCTAAGTGGGCCACCATTTATCCAGACACCACAATCCCTTTCTGTGAACGCCTTGGCCAGGTGATGCAGGATTCCTACATCCTGTGTGTCCAGCCCTGTTAGAATTTAATACAATTCCATGAGATGTCTCTCATTCCTCTCAGCTCTAGTGAATACAGGCCCAAATCAACCCAATCTCTCATGATGCAACAAATCTGCCATCCTGGGTGAACCTCCTTGGCTTTTTTTCCTGTCGCACACATATCTTCTGTTACAGGAGGTGGCCAAAACTGCACATTATACACCAGGTGTCGACTCACTAAGGCCCTGTACACCTACAGCGAGTCATCCTTGCTCCTGAACTCAACCCCTCAATAAGTAAAGCTCCCCGTTGCTCTTCACGAATACCATGCAAGTGCAAAAAAGATCCATTTCTTAACTCAATGAGAAATTCACTCACTGGAATCTTACTTGCCTGAAGGCACAATTTTCTTCCCAGTATTTTCTTTGGGCTATATAGTAATTAGCTTCAATTGCTTTTGAAGCATTTTGCTTCCTGTCTAACATTTGCAAATCTTGAAGAGTCTAACTCTACATGTTACTGGATGAAGGCTGTAAACGGCACATAACCAGAATTGGAAATACTTACTCCTCAAAGACCTGTGAGGCACCAAGTTGTTGCATCATGAAACAAAACCGCTTCTCTTCCTCATCGTCTATGATATCCAGGTCGTCAGACCAGCCAGATTCAAATGTTTCCTCGAGCTTGGAGCCTTCTCGACTTTCCGTTGTTGGCAATACCTCATCACCTATGAATTGTCCTGTGCATTTGAGAGAAAGCATCTGACAAGCTACTCCTTCAACCGAATAAAAACAAACCAAAAACAAACTTGCATTTATAGAATCCCAGCCCCTTGAAGTCAAAATATTGGGAATCTAACAGTGCTGGAGCTGAAACAACTGAAACTGGTGCACTGAAGAGATAAAAAAAAAATGATGAAACAAGATTGTTTTTGAAGGTGGGAGGCCAGCCTGTACTGCTCCTCGGTAATCAAGGTAAAACAGTGCAATGGAGCTTAAGAATGGAGGAGGAGAACAGAAGTACACCATGTGGCCCAAAAGATCTTGTTTCACCATTCAGCCTGATCATATGCCTCATCCTCATGATTCCCAGAAAGGTCTAAAAAAACTTGCTGTACCAGCTTTAAAATATACCCAACAAAAAAACAATCAGAACCCACAGCAGAGGGGAGCTGGACAATGCTTCGACTGAAGAAGTTATTATTGATTGGGGCATGATCATTTAGGATTGCGATACGTTCGCCTGTCTTTTAGGTTCCCCAGTTGGAAGAATCACCTTCTGTATCTTCCCTGCTAGGTTTATGCAGAATTATGACAGTTTCAATGGGTTGAACCTATGGCCAGGTGAATGAGGCTGGGGGTGGGGTCAGTCGTTAGTTCTCCCAGAAGCACCAGAACACAGTCATGGACATTGAGAATGCAAACAAACCCCGGGAGAAAAAGAAACAGATTCCAGACTGAGGTAAGACCTGAATCTTTTGGAAGACTGGGGAGGCCAGGGAGGTGTGCAAGAGAGGTGGCTGGAGGTCACCCCAGATGTTTACAGGGCAACACCCCAACCACACACACCAAAAAAGGACGCTGTCCTTGTTGTGTAATCATCTTCTTGAGAAGAGCCTGCATTTATCTAAAAACGAGCTAAAATTGGGTCTGCAATTTCCTTCAGGGCTTGCAAACTCTGGCGCCAAGCTCAAATGGAAGCGAGAAGCCCACACTGCGAGGAAACAGTCAGACGTTACGATCTCCCGCCAGGGTGATCAGTTGATGGCCAGACAGCAGGCTCACCATCCCATTGAGGGTTAGTTCTCAAAAAGCTGGGAGGTCAATCCAAGGTCATCCCATGTGAAGGCAGCAGCAGACTACAATGGCAGGTGAATAAAAGACAGGACAGTTCAAAGTGGAGGTGCCATCTCTCCAACTTTCATAAATTTTAAATAAAATTGTTTCACAGCCAGGTTCAGCGCTGTGGGACATTGTCCCTCCACAGTACAGCATGTCAATGGAACTGCACTGAGGGCCATTAAGGGACGGTGCCTCTAGGTTTCCCGTGAACATTGCCTCACACCCTCCCCTCCCACCAGGGCTGCTGCTGGGAGCCCATTTAGGCCGCAAAATTGGCTCCTGCCAACTGAGCAAGAACCTGGAGGTAAAATGAAAATTCCAACGAGCCTACTTTAATTGTAATTTATTAAAGGGTCCCAAACACTCAAATCCATTCCCTGCTACTTCTCCACTCTGTCTTCACGTGAGTGGGTCTGGAGGTGTGGAGGAGGAACAGAATGGCGCCGGGAATCCAAGTTGCAGGCTGGCTGCATGTGTTTCAGCGCCTGGACCACTCTGATCACGGCCTCACAGCGCCAGGGACCCGGGTTCAATTCCACCCTCGGGTGACAGTCTGTGTAAACTCCACACATTTTCCCCGTGTCTGTGTGGGTTTCCTCCCACAGTCCAAAGACGTGCAGGTTGGGTGGACTGGTCATGGTAAATGCAGGGTTACAGGTATAGGGTGGGGGGCTGGATCTGGGTGGGATGCTCTTTTGGTGTTGCGGGGGGGAGGGGTTGATGGGCCAAATGGCCCTTACCTGCACTGTACGGATTCTAATAAAAATCAAGGCTTGGAATTTTTATTGAGCTTTCAGAAGAGCATGATTGTAGGCCAGTTATTTAGTAATTCAGTGGAGATAATATCAGGACTTTTCTCCCTCAAGATCCAAAATACCAGTATATGCCTTTTCACTTCAATACAATGTTACAAGACAGCTGTGTTATAACATGTTGAAAAAACATACAAACATACAGGACTCTACAGGGTAGATGCGCAGAGGTTGTTTCCTCTTATGGGAGAGCCTAGGACCCGACAGCATCATCTCAGAATAAAAGGTCACCCATTCAAGACAGAGATGAGGAGGAATTCCTTCTCTCAGAGGATTGAGAATCTGTGGAATTCTTTACCACGGAGGGCCATGAAGGTTGGACCATTACATATGAGTTTGACAGATTTTTAATCAGTAAGGGAATCCACGGGTAATTGGGAAAAGGCAGGAAAGGTGGAGTTGAGGATTATCAGATCAGCCATGATCTCATTGAGTGGTAAAGCAGACTTGGCCTACTTTAATTTCTATGATTTATATTCTTATCCTGCTCAGCCGGAATTTTCTGGAGCCAATTTCACCAGTAAGGCCCACCTCAGTGATCTCTGCAAAAGTCCCAACTGAACTGTCGTCTCCTTATTTTCAAACAGAAGACTAATCTCTCATAAGCATTCTGCTCAGTTGCTATCACATTAAATTCTGATCAAGCCTGGTCAGGAGAAGTGAAGCCTGTTAGGAGATACTCTAGGCTTGGTCCTGTGATGTTATACATCTACCAGAAGTACTAAGCACAGATAAAGAAGTTGTGAGAATTATCACAATCACACATTGATTAATTAATACTCAAGTGCCTTTTCTCAGTATGAGGGAATATTCACGTGTTAAATAATGTTTGATCTGTATAGGTTTATTTCACTTGTTACAGCTCTTACTTCTTAAAAGCTAAAATCTTGTTCTTTGGTTATCTCCAGCAGTTGCTGGGAAGTTTATCTCTCAAAAAAAAATTAATTGGTCCCTGGGGGATTGTAACAACTTGTTTTATGTTTCATTTCCGCTTTACAACAAGCGATGAAACAGTCATAGCCAACAATGACCTACTCCATATTCTGCAGAGGGCTAATGTAAATGGAACACATACGCTAATTGCGCAACTAATTAGAATTGAATCCATTCTAAGTGGTATTGGGAACATAAAAGGCAAATTAGGATGAATTCATTGCTTCCAGTGTTGCCAATGGTTTCCAGTAACAATGATGTTGTCCTTACACAACGTGCCCTATTTGAAATATGCCTGCTATTTCTACACAGAACCTTTAATTATAAGCGTGTGGGAGTTGAAACGATAGTTCCAATTATAAGATGAATTGATTTGTAGCTTAGCAATTCTACCCATATTGCCTTTGTTAGCACTTAGAAAGAGTAGTCTGTTTTTTGTGTAGAGGAGACGAGGGTACAGATGATTTTATTCATCTCATTCTATCTTTTTAAATTCAATAAACTTCATTACATTATGGTACTATGAGGCTTGGTTTAATATAGCTACTCCTTTGTTTGCCCCAATATTACATAGTCTTTATTAAAAGATTTAAAATTAAATTATTTTAAATTCATCCTGCATTCAATATGCATTCATTTCAGTTATTAAGAAAATATTGAACTCGTAAGTTCTTTGGAGGAGGATTTTCAATATTTTAGAGCAAAATTCAAATACAAAAGAAGCCCATTGTCACTGCATTCTGTGTTAAAGGAATCCAAAATGAATCAAATTCTCCGGTCCCCACCATGGTTTTCTTTGCTTCAAATATGTCCCTGGATTTTCGCATCAACAAACCAGTCTTGTGGATATATACACTTCGCATTGCAAAGAATGCAACGTAAAGAAGTTTCTCAGACTCGATCTTGATGAAAAAGACACTGCTTGGTTCAATAACAACACCGTTTTCACAGTTTACAAGAGGGTTTGTGGTACATACCAAATCCCATGCTGAATTCCAAGGGTGTTAAATAGCCATTGTTATCCTGGTCCAGACTGTCGAAGACAGCTTCCAATTGCTCTGGGGTCAGAGGTAATTCATTCTGCAGTCTCTGTAACAAAGCAAAGCACAATTCTACAGAAGGTAGTCAAATATAATACAGTTTTCCAGCACTTCACAAGATCAACCTATTATGCCTCGCTGAGGCAGCTCTCCAGAAATTGAGCCCCACTATTCCCAGGGTCGACATAAAAGTTATAGATTTCAAAAAGTACATAGAATTTCATAATTTACCAGGCTAACAAAGGGCAGATCAGGTGTCTTACAAATATATAGGTTCTATTTACAGATGAACTATTATTGACATATAACTCTAACCAGCTTAAACTCTATGCCAGTTATGAGCATTCCCTCTATACACACAAAAACATGTGGGTGCCGTCCCGGTTCATAAGGTTTGCTGAGATGATCCTTTTGCTGATCAGAATGTTATTTTTCTTTCATCCTTCTCCATGTACCTTCACTTGTTTGCAGGAGGAACACAATGACTGGCTCACACTTATAAAAGGTTTCTAACACAGTAAATGAAAGTCACAGCTTACAGTAACTGATAAAGGGGAAATAAACTGGCAATCTGCTGGCTTGAGATGTTCTTTATTGCAGAGCAAAAATGCTGACTGAATATTCTGATATTTTAGAAAGTATCTGGAAAGGAATAAGTACTTTACCTTCCAAGCAATGTATTGTTGTAAAGGTAGTATATCGATTTGCCCAACACTCCTTCCCTTGATTAGCTGTTACATCAGAAAGTTTTGAAGTTTCTCAGCTTCCTGTCCAATGACTTGCACTGAATTTAACCTTAACCATCGTTGATGACTTTAACAACGATGCAATATCCTTCCCCTTCCTCCCCAACCTCTGAACAGTCTTTGAGATGGTCCAGCACATTGGTCTCCTCATGCTTCTCCGATATCCAGTTCAGTAAGGTGGCTCTCGTTCTGTTTCATTCATGCAGCCAAATATAGCCAGTGCATCTCTATCAACAACCACTCATCTTACACCCGAAGTATAACTTCGATTTTTGGGGTTCATTACCATAGTTACCCAATATAACTAGTTGACAGTTCGTAAGGAATTTTTCAAGTGGTGTGATCAGCAGCAGCAGGTTAGATACAATATACAGTTAATTAGACAAAGGAACTATACAACCCATGACAACAGATAATGATTCAGCGACACCAGGGGATGAGCAGGCAATTGGCACATGTCAATCACGTTAAAGTCGTGAAGACAGCATCTTGTTTTCCATCCAAAATGTTCGGGAAATCTGTCCTGAGTCTTCCCTAAAACTCTTCTAGTCTGTCCTCCCTCTGAAGGCAGCTGTTCCCTGTTGAGACTGCTCTCTGACTCTGAACGCTGATTGCCAATCCCAAAAAGTGCTAGCAGATCGCAGATTGACCATCACTTGTCCCAATCCTCTGAGGAAATGAGCATGGGATAACAATTCATGACTTCAAAATAACAAATCCCCACTTTCCCGCCTTTTGGAGGATTAGTTTTCATTCTTTGGGGAAATAGCAGTTTTATTTTTCCAACCACTGCAATAATGAGATTACACGGTGCCAGAGTTCGCTGATATCAACTTATGGAACCTATGGGGCCTTGGTGATATTTACTGTTACTTTCCTTTTGCTCATTTATTAGAAACTGTTTGTGTTTCTGAAAAGCAAGTAATAGCAGTTGAAACAGATCTCACAGCACGCATGAAAAACGAGGAGGGGAAAAGAGAATGGTTTTTAAAAGGACTTCAGTTTCTAACAATCTTTCGAGTCCACCAGGGATCTGCCTGCTACTTCCTTAACAAAATTACGATTTTATTTTTGTATCTTTCATTGGCAGAATACATCTCCACCATCTCTTCCAATACTCTCCTGAAGTTTATTTTTGAACGAACCACAATTTCTGCAAGCTAAATAAAATTTTGACAAAACAAACCTAGTGTCTTTAGTATTCATCACCATATCCCCAGTGCGCTACCTCTTTGGCAGAGACCCCTCTCCTTCCCAGACTGATTATTGGGCCAAAATAGACTGTCTGCCATCTCAACATAATAGTTCAATCCTCAGCTGAGCTTCTGACTCCATAACCTTGCCATTACACAAATGCTTACTTCCACCACCATCATTTCACCTGGTATTGTCCTGAAATCTTCATTTATACCTTTAATGACTCCAGACTCAACTATTCCAAATTTTTCCAGGCTGACCTCCTGCTTTCCACCTTTGTAACAGTCAATAGACCGCAACCATCCCACATCAACCCTACAGTACAACCTGTATCAAAAACAACTTGAAGTTGAATTATGCAAGAGAACAGAATGTTCAAAATACAGTGTGTCCTTGTGCCCCGAGTGCAGCTACCTTTCCCTGGCCTTGCACATTCCCCACTTAGAGTCATAAAATTGTACAGCATGGAAACAGACCCTTCAGTCCAACTTGTCCACGCCAACCAGAAATCCTAAATTAATCTAACCGCATTTTCCAGCATTTGGCTCATATCGCTCTAAACTCTTCTTATTCATATATACATTCAGATGCCTTTCAAATGTTGCAATTGTATCAGCCTCCACCACTTCCTTTGGCAGCTCATTCCACACACACACACACACAGACACACAGACACACACACAACCCTCCGTGTGGAAAAGTTGCCCCTCAGCTCCCTTATAAATATCCCCTCTCACTTTAAACCTATGCCTTCTAGTTTTGGACACCCCACCCCAGGGGAAAAAGATCTTGGCTCTTCACCCTATCCATGCCCCTCATGATTTTATAAACCTCTATGAAAAGGTCACCACCTCAGCCTCCGATGCTCCAGGGAAAATAGCCCCAGCCTATTCAGCCTCTCTCTAAAGCTCAAACCCTCTAATTCTGGAAACATCCTTGTAAATCTTTTCTGAACCCTTTCAAGTTTCATAACATCCTTCATATTGCAGGGAGACCAGAACTGATTGCAGTATTCCAAAAAGTGGCCTAACCAATATCCTATACAACCACAACATGACATCCCAACTCCTACACTCCATGCACTGATCAACATATGAAAGCATACCAAACGCCTTCTTCACTATCCTATCTACTTGCGACTCCACTTTCAAGGAACTATGAACCTGCACTCCAAGGTCTCTTTGTTCAGCAACACTCCCCAGGACCTTACCATTAAGTGTATAAGTCCTGCCCTGATTTGCCTTTCCAAAATGCAGCACCTCACATTTATCTAATCTGCCACTCCTCAGCCCATTGGCCCGTCTGATCAAGATCCCATGGTATTCTGAGGTAACCTTCTTCGTTGTCCACTACATCTCCAATTTTGGTGTCATATGCAAAGCCTACTAGACATACCTCCTATCATCACATCTAAATCATTCATATAAATGATGAAAAGCAGTGGAGCCAGCACCGATCCTTGTGGCACACTGCTGGTCACAGGCCTCCAGTCTGAAAAGCAACCCTCTACCACCACCCTTTGTCTTCTACCCTCAAGCCAGTTCTACATCCAGATGACTATTTCTCCCTGTATTCCATGTGATATAATCTTGCTAACCAACCAGTCTACCATGAGGAACCTTGTCAAACACCTCACTGAGGTCCATATAAACCATGTTCACCACTCTGCATAGAACCATACAGCATGGAAACAAACCCTTCAGTCCAATTAGTCCACACCAACCATGTTCCCAAACTAATCTAGTCCCACTTGCCCCTGTTTGGTCCATATCTCTCCAAACCTTTCCTATTCATGTACACATCAAAATGTCTTTTAAATGTTTTAATGTACCTGCATCCACTACTGCGTCTGGTAGTTTATTCCACATACACAGCACTCTTTAAAAAAATAGTTGCCCCTCATGTCCTTTTTAAATCTTTGTCCTCTCACCTTAAAAATATGCACCCTAGTTTTGGACTCCCCCAATCCTAGGGAAAGAGACCCTGCTTTTCCACTTTATCAATGCTTCTCATGATTTTCTAAACCTCTAAAAGGTCACCCCTTAACCTCCTACGAGTCCCAGCCTATCTTTATAGCTCAGAACTTCCATTCCCAGCAATATTCTGGTAAATCTTGCCTGAACCCTCTCTAATTTAATAATATCCTTCCTATAGCTGGGTCACTAGGACTGTACACAGTATGCCACACAGAAGAAAATTAGAGAAACGACAAAGAATGTCATTTGAAATAGAAATGCTTCACTGGACTAAAGTACCAGAGCCAGAATGTTGAAATCAAGACGCTGTGGACAAACATATTTTAAAGAAAAGTCCGAATTTCTGACAGGAATTTTGTAGAGCAATTAAACTCTAAGCGACCCTTAGAGTCTAACTCCTGTACAAAATTACAGTCAGAAATTCGGACTTTTCTTTAAAACGTGGTTGCCTGCAGCCTCTTGATGTCACCATTCTGGCTTTACTTAACAATTGGCCTTAAAAATCACAGTTTCCACACAAGAACAAATGTCGTCTGCACATGACAACACAACAGGCCTGTTTCATTGAATAGCACATTATTTGACGTTAAGTGTGGCTATTCAAAATATTAGAATATTAATTTTCACTGTTATAATTCCTTTACAGACACACATACATATGATTTTGGACCAACAGCCCAGACATATCTGACTGTAGATACACCTGAACCTCAAGATGGATATTACCCATCTGACAGCTCAGTCTGCTATATCTCTGCTGCCAAATGCACAAGGTGTATTAACACAAAAAGAAGAGTTTTAAATTGCTCTGAATAGTCTAAAGGGTCTGGATAGTTGGCACATTCATTGCCAATAAACAAAAGGATTTTATTTTTCTCAAACATAATAGCAAGTAATAAGGGACTATATTGTTAAAGCTTTTTACTACACATCCTATTTCACCATAGGAGTTCATTGGTTCTATATAGCTTACAGCGGGTCAATGGCATGGAGAAAACAACAATAATTAACACAGTCATAGATTGTTGTAGGGGACATGGGGTTTTTTCAGGGGGGTGTAAGGGGTGAGCCTTACATTTTTAAAATAGCTGTGGCAAAAACCCACTGAATTCAGGCAGACATTTTTGGAA